CCCTTAACCACCATGCCACCTGCTGACTCAAGATCACTCTCACTTCTAAAAAGTTACATATATAGTGACACAAAAATAATTACATATACCCTTTCAGTATATGCTCTGAAATAATTAGGCACTTCAAGTTTCTAAAGTTACTTTGTTTCATATAAATATTTTTCAAAACATTCAGGAAAAATGTATATGTTCATAAATAGAATTTATGAAAACACTATTCATTGGTTTAAAAAATTTCTTGTACCAAAATAAATTCATACTTTAATTCATTTTTTTCCACAATCTTTTTGAATTCCCCTGTATACTAAGGAATTTGTTTCTTCCTCTTGAATCAGAGTATACTGAAAAAAGGTCTAGAAATCATTTTATGTCACAATTAAACATAAGGATCTTTCTTGATAATTATATTGTCTTTTAGGCCATGAGCTTTAATTACACTACTAGATTTGTTTCTTTTAGAATAAACATAGGGACCAGCAGTTAGCATAATGGCTATGTTGCTGAGCTCCCATGTAGCTGACCATGGTTCGAGCTCCAGACCCGTTGGCTTAAATTCACGCCGGGCATGTGTGCGTGCATGCCCAGGATCCTGGAGAGGAGAATGGAGGAGAAGAGATGGCGGCATGGCCATCCCCCCTGGGGGGGTGATTTCTCGCTTTCTGTATCTCTGTTGCTCTCTGTCTTTCTGGTGAGTACACATGCCCTATAGCAAAAACCTCTACAAAAAAAGTAAATAAATATAGAATTCTTTAATTTCTACATCCATATTTTCCTAACAAAATAATATTTATAGAAAATAATTGTGTAAAAACTTACAAGGTTCATTATTATTTTCAGTTTTCATAGTATTTTTATATTCATTAACAGGTACACTATAATGTCCTTAAGTATATATTTTAAGTATTAGTAAATAAACATCCCTATAGAGTCACATTTATTCCTTCTCAATAACTTGTTTTTATTGTTTTAAATTAAATAATAGCTTATTTATTTTTAAATAATTTTGCTATAGGGCATGTGTGCTCGTTGGTGGAGAGATGGAGCAGAAGTAAGAAAGTATTCCTCAGAGGGTATGTATGGCTATACCATAGTCTCTTCTTCATTCTCTTCTTGGAATTTTGGGGCACATGCACATGCACTGGTGTGTTTTCAAGTCACCTGGTGTGGAACTTAAACTGCAGTTAGCTATGTGAGCTCCAGTCACTTTAACCCCTATGCCATTGGGTAGCCCAAAATCTTGTAATGATAAAATGATCAAAACAATATTACTTATAGCTGAAGTAATGAGCAAAAACTTATAACTAAATTCAAAATCTGTCATTCAAAAAGATTTATTTAAATTTCTACAGCTACAAATTTTTTGTCAGCATTTGGTGTACTAATATAATTTTAAGCCTTATTCTTTCTTCCATTCATACTTCCTTCACAATGATTTTTTGTTATTTCCTCATTTTTGACATTTTCAATCCCTTTTTCTTCTTAATCAACCTATTTCCTTCAGGTTAAGAAATGTTGAAGTTAGTACCATCTCACTTAAAGAAAACACATCTTCTATTAATCCTATGTCCTACAGTTAAAACTGTTTCTTTCCTTTGTATAAGATTTTCTTAGAAAAGGTTACATACTTGGCAATCACATATTAACCCATTAAAATTTCATATCCAACATGTGCAAGCTATTTAAATTCCAAGATGTAACTTCATTACCATCTAAAGCCTTTTAATATACTGTACTTTTATTTCAGTGCTAATTTTTCTAGATACTTTACAAAAATTCTCCATTTTTCAGTATTTTTTCTCCATTTTTTCCTAATAATAATATCTATGTATCTATTTTTGCTCCTTTCACTCAGGATCAATTCTTTGTTATCCTCATCAGTTCCACTGCCTTCTACCCACAAAACGAAACTGTGCCTATACTGATCCTTATAATTTCTGGAGAGAGCTTGGCTTCAAATACGACCTTAAGCAAATGACTGCTAGATTTACACCTCTAGCCCAGAAAACTATTTCTGAATTTTAGTTCTTAATTTCCAATGCCTACGTGATATCTCTCTATCAATCTTACTTCAAATGAACATGACCAAATTAACTTTTCTACCAAAACCTTTCTAAATGCTGCCATTTCCATTAAATAGTTATTTTTGCTTCTGTTTTCCAGGTTCAAAAATATGAGAGAATTTCCTCATTTATTCTTCTCCCACGTTCAGTCAGTAAAAAAAAAAAAAAAATACAGTCAAATCGTTGCATGATCTGTCATCTGTGATGCAATGTTGACTGTAAGTGTAAGACTGTGAAACTAAGACTTGAAATCCCAGCTTCACAACTCACTAACTGCCTCATATTGGGTAAGTTTCTAAATCTCACTTGGCTTCATTTTATTCTGTGAAATAAGAGTAATTTCTTTCTATATAAAAAGAAATTATAAAGAGTAACTAAAATATTTTTTATAAGGGCCTTTCCCATTTACCCAAGTTAATATAGTCCAAATCTCCATTCCTTTTTCCTGTGTCAGTATCTTATTTTATTTTCTTCAGCAATTAACACCATCTAATAATCTATGGTTGTTTGATTTTCTTCATTTTATGTGTTTATTTTCTATGATTTTTCACTATATTTAATGAAGGCAGAAACCATGTCAATATTATAATATTTACCACTGAATCTCCGAGGTCCAGAATAAACTCTCTCATATATTAAGTATTCCATGTATATTTGGTAATAGAATGAAAAACTAAAATATATAAAGGGCCTGCCCCAATGATTTCACTGATTGTCTGTACTCTACACTGTCTTCCTTCTTTGCCACTGCTATCTGCATGTATCAACCCTAATCACACTACTTCTGTCCTACAGTTAATAATCTCTTTGTCTTCATTTGTTTTCTACCCCCCATTAAACTGCTAACAAAATACTGGGTTGATAGTCACTTAAAAATTTTGTCAATGCCATTTATTCATAAAGCACCTATGATACAACACTCTTACTGAAATAACTTCAATTGATGACTATATTCAATAAGTCTAATCTTCATGTTCTTTCTCAATACCCCATTCCTTAATTTTCCATTTGTTTTTCTAAATGAACATCAGTCATTTTGATCGTCCTTATAGAACTTATGCTTGTTACTGTCTTTAATTATACTATTTCACACAACTAGAATACATAAACTAAATTTTTCCTTTGGGGTCCAGGTTCAGACATCAGACTTAAATATTCCCTCTTTTCATTTTTTAAACTACTATTACAAAATTATTAATAAAATTAAGTTTTCTTAACCATTATGACAAAATAATTAATATAATTATAATTTTAAAAAGAATCATATGCAGTAACAGAAAGTCTTTCAACTTTCAGTCTTCCTACGCGTAATCATTGTTCAATGTTTACATACCTCTTCAGATATGATCTGTGTTTAAAATGATTATCTATCCTTCCTCTCACTTTCAATGCATGTATCTTGTGAATTTATATATATTTAGAACATATAAATACCTTCTACATACACTTTTATACTTTTTAACTTATTGTATCTTGTGCCTGTTTTTTTCTAACATTTGCACAAATAACCCCCTTTTGAACTCTGATATGATTTATTTTTTTCTAACATTTGTAAGTCATGCAGGTTGTTTCCTTATAATTTTATTTACCCATTTAAGTACTCTGTAACCTTTAATAGGTAGCAAGTTTCCCCATTCACTTCCTCAGGGACACACGAACACACACAAACACACACACACACATCACAGCATAGCTCATTACAGAGAAAGTATATTGCAGCTGATGTGACATACAGACTGAACATGTAATCCCAATTTTCTCTCACTGGGAACATTTTGATGCTTTTTTCTCTCTAGAAATACAGTTTCTTTTCTTCTTTTCTTCTTAAAGAAAACTCAACAATGAGTTGTAATGAAAATTTTGCCCTTAAAAACGGTTTTTCATAGGTTCAGTCCAAACATATGTTGATGTTTTATCATGCCAATATTACCAAATTAATTACTAAATAATTGAATATTTTATTCTTTTCCAATAATAATTTAAAATTCCTGTAAGACATTCAAAAATATTTCCCAGTAGAATCACTCACATTTATACCAAAACCTGAATAAATTGGAGATTTACTTCCAATTTTGAAAAAATTTGTTTCCTTATTATTTGATCATTTTAGGCTCAACACTTTTTATGTAGTGTTTATAAATTTTCGGATATAAAACAACTATACATTCATTGATTTGTACTTCATGTAACTGCAAAACAGCAAAGTGTTTGTATAATTTAGTTACAGAATTTAAAAGCAAAATTTTACTTCTGTAAATTTATTTAAACTTAAATCCCAGTTGAGTCTAGTTACCTTTCTCAAAGCAGGGCAGAAATTAAAGAAAAGTCTGTAGTTACATGTTTTGAATCTTTCTGGAAGGTGCCAGCTCTGAATTATTTCTTCATCAGAAATCACATGATGATCCAGTGCTTTGAGAGGCCATATACTGTTAACAAGAACATGTCTGTATCCTTTTTTAAGGCTTACTGGACAATCAAACAGAGTGAGGGCAATGAGATTTGGACAGGCAGATAATACACATACATTCTTTAGCTTTGCAAACCCATTGTCATGAAGATAGAGAAGTTTTAAGCTCTTCATTCCACTCCAAAATTTTATATCTGGTAGATTCTTTATCTGAAATATTATCAAACCATTTATATTAGTTACAATATCTTAATAATACTATTTCAAATATAACTTTTCTATAAATGGCATAGGAAGCTGTAAAACATTAAACATTTCTAAAATTTAGTATTTCCTAAAACACAGGTTTCTAATTAATAAGTAAAAGTAATCTTTCTAATTATACAATGATGATTGGGGTGAAAAACATATTGAACATCTGGAATGAGCTATCATTATTAGTGTAATTGAATGGATATATAATATACTTTGTTAAATGAAAAATATTTTGAAATAGGCTGACTAAATTTTCCTAATTTTTTTACATAAGAAATGAAGAACTCATTAAGTATTCCAGACTATGTATTTAAAAGGTAAAACATGAGACCAGCAGATAATATAATGGTTACGCAGCTGGACTCCCACATGGTCGACTGGGTTTGAGTCCCAGACCCAGTGGCTTCAATCATATACTGGGCGCATGTGTGTGCATACCCAAAATTCCAAGAGGAAAATGGAGGAGAAGGGTTTATGGTGTGGCCATTCCCTTCCGGGGGGGAGGGGAAGGTAGTGATTTCTTGCTTTTGGTCTCTCTTTCTCTGTCTCTCCAGCGAGTGCACAAGTCCTATAGCAAAAATCTCTCTTTTTTTAAAAGAAGGTAAAACATATCAAATTATTGTTTCCATGGTTTTTTTATTTAAAATTTTTATTTATACATCTAATTCATATTTTAAAATTTCTGTTAGAATTTTTGTTTATGTATACATAAAGGACTAGCTGGGAGAAATATTGTAGCTAACATGATGCTTATTATATATACATTTCATTTATATGCAAATATCTAAACCGGCTATTTGCTTACCTGATTTCCATGGAGATCAAGTTTGATTAATTTTATACAGCTTTGAAGTGGACGAATATCTGTAATAAAATTATTTGATAAGATGCATACTTTAAGAGATATACAAGATTGCAAATTTTCCATAGATTTTAAATGAAGGCCATTGAACTTCACAAAAACATAATCTTTTTGGTCTTGTATTATGTTTTCATTATAGTGACTCCATTCTTCATGACTAGTTAACTCTTTTGTGATTGTTCCATGAAACATCTAGGAAAGATAGGAAACTGCTTTCAATAAGTTTTTCAACTTTCAAAAGTCTATATGTAAACAGAAAAACTGCTAAGAGGCAGTGAGAACGGAAATGAAAAATTGAAAAAATGAAAGTTAAAAATAAAGTCATATACTCACAGGATCTTATCACCCAAAAGTTTCTTAACTATCTAATGTTTATACAACTGCTACTCAAAAAACAATCACTTCCCTCACCAATAAACTAATAAGTAAAAGGAAGAAAAACTTTCCTTTTCAGACAATATTTATAGAACATGGAATTCAGTGAAAGACTTATGATAAAAACTTCAAGATAAGCCAATCAACTACTGACAAACGAGACTGTACCCTACTATAGCTGATCTGGTAATTTGGTCAGAAGATACTGTTAAATAAAGAAATCCTTGAATAATGAACAAGTTGGAAAAGTGATATTCTTTGTTGGAAAGATAAAAACAATGCAGACAGATGAAATTAAGGTAACATACAGGTCTTCAACTGTTATCAACAATATCTACTTCTTAAAATTTGGGGGAGGAACATTTAAAACATTTTAAATTCAAATGACAAAAATCTCACTTAGTAAAAACCTATTGACAAATATAGTGTGATTGAATATATGGAAGAAAATGAAATAAAAAAATAAAATAAAAGGGAACCAGCAGTTAGCGTAATGACTATGTCGCTGGACTCCCACGTAGTCGACTGCAGTTCGCGTCTCGGACCTGGTGGCTTAAAACTCACGCCGGGCACGTGTGCGTGCGTGCCCAAGATCCCGAGAGGAGAATGGAGGAGAAGGGATTGCGGCATGACCATCCCCCCTGGGGGGTGATTTCTCGCTTTCTGTCTCTATGTCTCTCTCTGTCTGGCGAGCACACGCATCCTATAGCGAAAACCTCTCAAAAAAAAAAAAATATATATATTAGGCCTAAGACCTCAAACCATAAAGATGGAAAACACTGGGGAAACTCTGGGAGAAAATATATATATTGACAATTCTCAATTCCTTCATTTTGAATTCTCCACAACAAACATATAAAAGTACATACTTTTTTCAGTTATTTATATTACATGACAAATCATTTCAAAATCTTTTCGCTTAAAACAGTCCTAATTTGATTATCTCTGAAAATTCTCAACTTATTGTTTTAGTTAGTGTATGAATGAATTCTGTATGTAGGTATGAATTCTAAAATAACTTAGTCTTATAAGCACTCTTTTCCATACACTACATTAATGTATAACACTACATTAATTTATATCTATGTTCTCTGTTACATTAATATTCCCCTCCACCAACAGTAATTTGTCAGTTTATAACAACCTTAATATTTTTAAAAAGTCACCCCCCAGGGGATATAGCCACATCACAATCCCTTCTCCATTCTCCTCTCAGGATCTTGGGCATGCAAGCACACATGCCCAGCATGAGTTTAAGCCACCAAGTCTGGGACTTGAACTGCAGTCAACTATAGGGGAGTCCAGCGACATAACCATTGCGCCAACTGCTGGTCCCCACATCTGAAATTTTAACAAGGACAGCTGGAAGGTTAAGTTTACTTGTTTGCCAAGATAGATAGGCCTTTCCCTTCATATTGTCTCAGGATCTCTCCATGTGTGTCTGTAATAGGGCAGTCAGACTTTCTATGTACTTGACTCGGGAGTCCAAAAAGTATAAAAACAGACCTATCAGGCCTTCTTAATGCTTAGAGCTAACTGGCAGAAGATCATTACAGCTACATTTTATTGGTTAGATCAAGTTATTCTGATATTTCAAGCAGCTTAGAACCTAGGTAGAGAAAGGAAGAACTAAAATATAAGTTATCTGAACTTGGTGACTTAAGGCAAGTTACACCATATATTCTGTACCTCAGTTTCATCACCTATAAAATGCAATGAAATAATAGTATTTGATTCAAAGAATTGTTATGAAGACAAAATGAGTTAACGTAAAGCCTTTAGAACAGTGTCTGACACTTAGTGAGCACTATAAAATGTATTACTAAGATAAATACCTAGTTCAATCAACAATTCAGGATAGCACATATTCTTAAAAAAGGAAATCAGATGCCTCAAGGTTCCAGTTCAGCATAAGTTCGGAAATCAACACTCCATCCTCTAAACACTTTCCAAACACAACACTTTCTATGGTTCCTCTTACTATATAATTAAATAATCTCATTCCAAAGTATCTCTCTTCCTTATCTTTTAGGACATTCACAGTTAATTTAAAGTTCAAAATCCCAGGTGTCTGAAGACATAATTTTGGGCTCCTCTTAACTAATTTTTGTTTTATATGTATTTAATTTTTAAATCATTCTCAACTTATTATTTTAGTTAGTGTGGTATGAATTCTAAATAAATTAGTCTTAGAAACACTCTTTCAAGTTAATAATAGGACACAGTTGTAACTATACACTACATTAATTTATAACACTACATTAATTTATATCGATGTTCTGTTACATTAATATTCCCCTCCACCAATAGTAATTAGTCAGGATATAACAAATTTAATATTTAATTTTTTTTTCAAATTAAGACATTATGATAACAGGTTATTGCTATCCAAAGGAAAGGTTAGCATATGATTAATATAATTAATATAAATTATAGGAATAAATTTTGTTTACATTTTTTCCTTATAAAAAAATAGTATTGCAACACTCAGAATATAAAGTGTTTCAGTTATTCAAACTGCTCAGTTAAATATCCCGATACACTTCCAAACATTTTGGATAATTGAGGATGTTTTATTTTTTATTTTAAATTACCTAGTTTCACATTTTAACTTTGTTTCTCATTCTTCATTGCACATCAGAATAAGTAGAATAATACAAATGCCCAAGTCCATAGCATACCACCTGCATCCTAAAATTACTGCTATGGACACAGGTAATTTTAATGCCAACCTGGTAAGCTAAAAATCATAACAGTGATATCTTTTCCTCTACCAAGGGAAAAATCTGCTTACCAACTGCTGCCAATTTTAAATATCACCATAGTAAAGAATCCATTCACTCTTACTCATTTTTTTTTTTTTGGAGAGATTTTCACTGTAGGGCGCGTGTGCTCCCCAGACAGACAGAGAGAGACATTAGAGACAGAAAACGAGAAATCACCCCCCCAGGAGGGATGGTCACGCCGCAATCCCTTCTCCTCCATTCTCCTCTCGGGATCTTGGGCACGCACGCACATGCGCCCGGCGTGAGTTTTAAGCCACCGGGTCCAGGACGCGAACCGCGGTCGACTACGTGGGAGTCCAGCGACATAGCCATTACGCTAACTGCTGGTTCCCACTCTTACTCATTTTAGACTTGATCATTTTACAATTTCTTTGTGAAATATATATATATATATATATATATGTATATATACACATACACACACACATACACAAATGTATAAATTATCAAGTTCAAATAACAATATAATGTTTCAAAGACCAATTTAGTTGAGCTAAGGTAAAGCACTGGAGGTTCAATTACAACTTCAAAGTTCTGGAGTTAAAAAGAAATCAGTATCATTATCAATAAACCTTTCCTTAGTTTATATCAGCTAAAGTAGTATTTATTTTTATATCTAGCATACATTTTTAAACAATACTGTGTAAGCTATGTCTATAAAGTACAATGTGTATCATCTTGACTCCTAACTTTCTCCATTTAAAAATCCCAAGAAGAGAATGAAAGAGATTGCTGAATGGCCATCCCTCTAGGGGTAATTTCTCACTTTCCCTCTCTGTCTGTCTCTGTGTCTCTCTCTCTCTTTGGTGAGAGCATGTGCCCTATGGCAAAAACCTAAAAAATAGAAATTGATGACAAATACGTGAAATAGAACTATATGAAGTTGTAATTAATAAGCATCTAAATTAAATATTAAGAAGTAAAAGAAAATGTATACATTACTTTCTTTCCAAATGTTATACATAATAAAGATAGAAAAGAAATTTGTGAAGAAATGCTTTGCTGACTGTACTATATCAATTACTTCTAGACTTAACACTCATTCACTGTACTTTTTAGATACTAGGAATACAGATACATTGGGTCATCGGAAAGATCATGTTGCATTTTTTTGCACAGAAAAACAGAAAGAAATCATAATTTTTCCGATGACCCAATATTATAGTTTTAAGTAAAAAATACATTAAAATGTAATATTGGGTTTTATGGTCTACATGTAAGTAATTTATCTTATAAATATTAAGTATGATATTACTAAGTACAATGGAATTCTAAATGCTGGACTGCAGAGAATTATCACAAAAATGGCCAAGTTACCTGCAAGTAAAATAAATCCACAAAAAATAAAAAATAATTTATTTTTTAGAAAATCTAATTATAAGGATATTATCACTAATATTTTACATGAATTGTGATAGCAAACTTTAGCTTAGAATGTCTGCAACATATTTAAGTCTATATCTATTGACAAAATAAGCAATTATTGAGTCAATCCTCTTTAATATTTTTTAACTGCCAGAGAGCTAATGTACTTGCCAAAGAGAGAGACAGAGAGAAAATATCACCCAATGATCAAGGTCACATCAATCCCTTCTCCTCCATTTCTCTTTCTTGTCAGGGTTTTGTGCTCCCACACACAAGCACCTTGTGTGTTTTTCAAGTCGCCTGTGCCAGGATTTGAACCACAGTTGGCCATGTGGATCTGGGTCCCTTAACCACTAAGTTAGAGCCTGAGTCAATCCTCTTTTGATGAAGAATTACCAACATTTATGTCACATATAAAACTTATTTTAAAAATTGAAAAGATGGGACTCTATTAAAGAATATAGTCAAACAGTACATCTCTCCTGGCTACTAAAAATGGAATATGCCTACAGTCGTAAAAAAACAAACTAACTATAATTAACTTTAAACAGGCACAAGGCATATTATTTATTGGAGTGATGTAACTGTGTGTAACTGTGGTGATAGTTGCATAACTCAGTAAATTTACTACAAATCATTAAACTGTTCACTTAAAACAGGTGAAGTTAATGGCATATAAAATATACCTCAATAAAATTGTTTTTAAAAACCTCATCTTGCTCTTTATGATGGTTCTCAGACACACTCTACTCTTTTCCAACAGATAAAAAGTCCAGTGATTCAACAGAATATTATTTTTCAATTTTTTATTGTACAATTTGCTCAACGCTCTTTTTTTTAGAGATTTTTGCCAAATGATGCATGCACACAGAGAGACAGAGAAAGACAGAAAGAGAGAAGTCACCACTGAGGTGGGATGGCCATGCCACAATTCTTTCTTCTCCATTCTTTTCTTGGGACTTTTGGGCATGCAGAACATGCACCTGGCATGAACAACATGCACCTGGCATGAGTTTTAAGCCACCGAGTCTGAGACTTGAACCATGGTCAGCTATGTAGGAGTCCTGGTGATGTAGCTATTTTGCCATCTGCTGGCCCCAGCTCAACATTCTTTTTAAAATGTCAAATTCAAGACTAGATACATCATTTTCAGTTTGTTCAATTTATGCAGAATTGATGGGCTTACTACTTAACTAGATCGGTATTCTGATAAAATAATACTCCAGAAAATACTTGGTAAACACTCTGGCAAAATAATAATATCCTGGTAGCTTAAGACTGTTTAAACAATCATATTACACTGTTTAGTTATATTTAATATGTAATTAAATAAAACCCCTATATTTTACCTCCTACAGTCAACTGCCTAACAATTGACTCCACTGAAATAGTGTACAGTAGTTTCTTACTTCAAATTAATATTAATAAAACCTGAGAGAAAAAAGGAAAGAGAACAAGAAGCATGCTGATAATATGGTCTGTTTACTTGTAGCATATTTTATGTGAGCAATGTAGTCACAACGGGAAAAAATAATATTCCTTTCTTTTTTAAAAAAAAATATGGAACGCTTCACGAATTTGCATGTCATCCTTGTGCAGGGACCATGCTAATCTTGTCTGTATCGTTCCCATTTTAGTATATGTGTTGCGAAAGTGAGCACAAAAAATAATATTCCTTTCTATGACCATCCTTTCCAGATCCAAGAGATGTTTTATTTAATATTCCATATAATAGTCTATTAAATTACTTGCTTTGTTTTCATTCTCTCATAGTTCTTATCACTCTCTGAATTTTATTTGGTTACATATCATTGTTTACTTCACCTTATTAGAGTGTACATTCTCAAACATATAGTCTCTCTTGCCCTCCATTTCCCTAGGACCTCTCCTAGTTCCACAGTTTAAGATTGATTCCAAGGGCCAGCAGGGCGCATGGTGGTTAAGATGCTGGACTCCCATATGGCGGATCACAGTTGAATCCAGGACCCAGTGGCTTGAAGATTATACCTGGCATATGTGTGAATGTCCAAAATCCCAAAAGGAGACAGGAGGAGAAGGGATTGCAGTGTGTCCATCCCTCCTGGGGGGGATTTCTCACTTTCCCTCACTGCCTCTCTCCAATGAGGGCACGCATCCCCTCCCCCTTCTCTCTCTCTCTCACACACACAAAATCACACACACACAAAATAATTCCATCTATAGATGTTCACAACTTCTAAAATTCTATCTTTATCTTAGACCTTTCTCTTGCACTCCAAGCTCATATGTATAATTTATATACACATACAAACTTGCATTACCTATACATTAATACACACCTGTTTATTCCATATACCATAAACCAAATATTCTAGTACTACTATCCCACTAAATCTTTCCATCTAGGGACTTTTCCATCTGAATTGATAGGCACTCCATTCTCAAACAGTCATATTTGACTTCCCTCTTTTTCTCACACATCCTATCAGCAAATTTCATTGCTTTCACCTTTGAAATACTTATGGACTCTAACCAACTTTTCACCAACTCTTCTGTAATCCTCTTAGCCAAGCTTTCATCAACTGTCACCTGACATTATTATGGTAGCTTCCAAAAGTCTGCCCGCTTCTTTCCTCACCCATCCCTGACTATAATCTATTCTCACATTTCTTAGTGATATCTTTAAACATTAGGCAAGTCTTATCAAAACCTTCAATGTGCTTCAGTCAAGAGTAGAAGTCCAAATCCTTTTGTTACCTCTCTGACCTCTGTTACTTTCTCTTTTGCTCTCTCACCTCACTCAAATTTTCCACATTTTCTGAAAGTTCTTCAGTGATAATGTATTGCTTTTATTTACAGAAAGAATTATTTGAAAACTTTGAAAGAGTATTTTTTACCCAAATGTCTTTATTGAAAGAATTAAAAAGGTCAAATCATTAGAAGAAAAACTATTAATAAAAAAAGCTTAATATAAGAATTTATAGGACCCTGAATGAGCATCTCCCTGAAGACTTTAATGAAAGGCTTTTATTTAGGCTTCTCAAATAAACCAAACTGTACGGTGCAATAGAAGGAGTTCTGGATTTGGGATTGAAATGACTTCCTCAAATATTCTATTGATACCTTGACTAAATCATTCTTCTCTCTGACTCATAGTTTTCCTATGTGTAAAGACATTCCTCTGTAAACCTCCTAAGCTTGCAGCTCTACAAGGAAAATACTATATTTAGCAAAGATACATCTAATAAGGGTGACTTATTCCCAACAATGTGATCGAAACTTCTAGATTGATCTGCTTATTTGGAGGGTGCCAGAGAAGAAACAAAAATACCACACATGCTAGGGGCCTGGTTGCAGACTGAACTTGATACAACTTCCAAAGATAACATTTGAGAGGCTGGTATGTGTAGTTTATGAAGCACACTCAAAACAGATGCGCACTTTCTAGTGGCTGTAAGGCAAAGAAGCCACAATCTTAATGTTCCTGAAGACCAAAGACCTTATAAATTAAGGTCGGGACTTTCCACTCAGTCCTTGGGGCACAGGGCGTCAAATGACAGAAAAGGCCGGGTGGAAATCATCTGCCAGGCATGGGATTGCTCCTGGCTGAAACAAAACACCGCGGAGGAAGAATCGCCTTTCAAGAAAGAGTTGGGAGTTCGTTTTATTTTCATCTTCTTTTCAGTCAGTCGGTTCTAACATTTATCACCCAACCTGAACCACTCACCGGGTCAACCGGGCTGCAAGGCCTTTTAAGTTGGGAAATAGCGGTCCAGACCCCGCAGAATCAGACAAATCTCTAGGTGGCCATCTGCTCCTGAGACCGTTGCTAGGGAAACCGGGCAAGGACCCAGCCTCACCCCATCACGGTCCTCCCTGTGCGGCCCGAGGAGCCCCGGGGCGTGATTACGTGGTGACGCACGGAAGGGGCGGGGCACTGCCCGGAGCAGGGGCAGCGTAACTTCCCAGGGCGCATGCGTGTTGTGGTACGCGCCTTTCGGGGAAGGTGGGGCTATGGCGGCCGCTGGAGTCGCTCCAGACATATCTCTGCGGGAAGCCACCCAGCGAAAGTTGCGGAGGTTTTCAGAGCTGAGAGGTAACAAAGGAGAAACAACCTGAGTTCTCGCCAACAGCGGAGAGGGAGGGTGATTTTCGTGCGAGCTGATATGCTGGATCGTAACTTACTGTATTCCTCTCACCTGAAGACTTGGGACGCTGACCTAGGAATAGTTTATATACTTTTTAGACTTTTATTCTAGCACTGTCCCTTCATATTGTGCTGCTTCTTTCTTCGGCTTCATTCCTAGTAGTATAGGTTATCAAATAAAATAAAGGAAAAGGCAGGAGAAAAAATATTAACCTGGCTAGTGAAGCTATAAATTGAAGTTATGCTTTAGTTAGCTCATTGATAAGTTTAAAATAATAAGTCTAAAACATATGAAGCATAATATTTTGACCTATACAAATCTTATTTTATCTTCCCCCGTTTACCAATTTGCTTTGTAGTGTACATGCTTACTAAGGGAAGAAACAGAACATAGAGGAATTTAGTATTAAAAATAAAAAAGGTAAAGTTGAGTGTAAAAAAAATGCCACTTAACATTTCATGTACAACCGTTTAATAAAAATTGGTTATTTTTTGGATGCAATGACTGTAAAAAGTACAGGGATTAATACTTGGATGGGAGTAAAATGTTGAGAAGTATTAGATTCTCACTGACAAATCGTGTTAACTAATAAAATCACTTGTTAATCTTGCTTATCAATAGAGAGAGTTCAACCTTTGGCTAAAAGTTCAGTCTCTGTTATAATAAGTTCATCAGGGAGTTGAGACTTTGTCTGTTACCCAGAATTTTATGTCATGTTTTAATAGCTTATGAAGCTTATATGGCTATCTTAAAACAGTTTTTTTTTAAAAAGTACTCACATTTATAAATACCACCACTGAAGTAATAGCTCCTTAGGTCTAATCTTTCTTAACTGACCAACTCGGACATAAGTGACCCTGATGTATGAAAAATTATTTTTAAAGCAGGATATGCAATTGTTTCTTGTCTCCTCATTTTAATTAAGAATTGAGCTAATAGTCTCTGGCAACTTACAATATTTCTTTTAAACAAGACACAGTACATCTTTCAGGATTTCTAAATAAATGGGATTGTAGACCATAAAAGGAAGGAATAATCTAAAATAGAAAACAATAAACATTGCTCAGTGGAACTATTTTGAATCATTTGGTTGACTGGTAATTATTACCTCATTCTCAAAGCAGAAGATACATTTTTGAAGATAATATTTACCTGACTTTTTTTCTTTTTGTTTCTTAGTAGGCAAACCTGTAATAGCTAGAAAATTCTAACAGTATTTGTAATCATTTCCTTGGTTTTCTCTAATAGGTAAACCAGTGGCAGCTGGAGAATTCTGGGACATAGTTGCAATAACAGCAGCTGATGAAAAGCAGGAAGTTGCTTATAAGCAACAGCTGTCCGAAAAGCTGAACAGAAAGGAGTTACCCCTTGGAGTTCAATATCATGTTTTTGTTGATCCTGCTGGAGCCAAAATTGGTATGCATTTATGATCAGGCTTATAGCATAGGTTCTAGGCAGAATAGTCAATGAAGAACAGGTTTTTAGTGGCTTATAGTTTATAAGCTGCATCTTCCCACCCAAGGCTTTTATAAACTTTAAAATATGGATGTAAATGGGCATTTTTTTTTTTTTTGGAAAGATAGAAGGCATAGCAACAGGTCTTACTCATTACCATGAACAGCTTCCAGAGTATTATTTAAAAGAGAATTTAATTCGTTTTTATGAAAAATATTCAGAAGTTTAATATTTTTCTAGACTTCTTCAATAGGCCTTTAAGGTCCTTCCCAACCCAACAATTCTCCAGAGATTTACGTAATAAAGCAAGTCAAGAAAAAAAATACATGGCTTCCTGGGACCACATTACAAAATGCAGAGAACATAATCCGGTGGCTTAAGGTATCTTAAAATATTTATTTTAACACCCCAGTTTAGGCCAGCTTTGTCCTTTGATCTTTCAGTGCAAATAAAAATAAATGCCATTTTCCGCAAGATTTTTTTTTTTTCTGGAGATATTTTTGCTATAGGGCATATGCACTTAGCAGAGAGGTAGAGAGAAACAGAGACAGTGAGAAATCCCTGAGAAGATGAAAACACTGCATCCCTTTTCTGTTCTTCTCTTGGGATCTTGGGCACTCACGCACATGCACCCGCAGCCGTTTTATCCTGCCAGGTCTGGGACTCGAACTGTGGTGACTATGTAGGAGTCCAGTGACTAAAGATTTTTTTTTTTTAGTTATTTATTTAGTTTTATTTATTATTATTATTATTATTATTGGTTTAATGTTGTTATAAGGCATGTGTGCTAGGGGGAGAGAGAGAAAAAAAGTAAGAAATTAAGCCACCAGGTCCAGGACTCAAACTGTGTAAGGCCATGTGGGAGTCCAGCACCTTAACTACCATACCACCTGTTGGTTCCCTGAAGTTTGTTTTTTCCTTCATAATACTTAAATCTGAAACCCATTGATACCAGAAATAGGATCTTTATAAATGACATTAACATTGTTTTAATTAGCCATTGTTTTAATCCTTACAACTGTTGGGTTAGTACTTTTTTATTCACTTGTATGGGTGAGAATCTGAGGCACAGAGAGTAAAATAACTTGCCCAAAATAACTAGTGTGATAGTTAAGATGTTTTTTTAGGAAACTAGATTTAAAATATCTTTTTAGAAAGGAAATTTAACTTGTGTATTTGACTATTTCTTATGGAAAGTTATTGGAGTGGGTTTTGTGATTGTAGTTCGATATAAATGACCATACTTAATAGTGTTACAATTTATGTAATTTATCTGTTTTTATATTTATTTTGGGAGACTATTAGCTCATCATTTATTACCAAGGGCTGTTCTCTGAATGGTTTTTAATTAGTAATTTTTTTTGTTATGAGATGTATTTAATTTTATTATTTAGTCAATACCAATGCTGCCTAGTTATAGCTAAAAGACATTGTTAAAATTATAACATCCAAATATACCATCATTATAGAGTTTTAGTAGCTTTCTGTAAAATAAGTTCTGCTTTTCAACTTTACTTTTAAGGAAATGGAGGATCAACACTTTGTGCTCTTCGTTGCTTGGAAAAAATATATGGAGATAAATGGAATTCTTTTACAATCCTATTAATACACTCTGGTAAAGTTATACTTTAGTAATTTACATTTTCTTTTGTGTATTCAATTGATACTGTAAGAACTTTTTTCTCCCTTTCAAATATTTCCCTCTTGTTTTTTTTTTTTTTTTTTTTAATTCTTAGAAGTTACTCTGCTTTGAAAACAAAATTTTTCACACTTTCCTTGATATTTTTAGGTTATAAATAGCGTAATGATTTTTCACAGAATTTATCTTTACAATTGTAGATCACATACAACAGCACATATTCATGGGTTTTGTTTTTGGTATGCACACAGAAAATTATTTTCCTAAGATAAAACTCATGAAAGTGTGAACATTTCTTAGGAATGTCTTAGAGAAGAATCTTACTGAGAGGAGAGAGACAGGTGTAGCATTGCTGTTAATGGGCTTTTGCCAAGAGATTCTGTCTTGTATTTTTGTCTCATTCTTGTGAGCTAAAGGCTATAACCATTAAAAATGTTTTAAAAATAAATAGAAAAAGTGACAAGATATGGAGTTGACAAGTAGGAGTACAGTTGATCCTTGAACAGTGTGAGGTTTAGGAATACCATTCCCTCATATAGTAAAAAAATCCTCATGTAACTTTTCATTCTAAAAACTTAACTGCTAGTAGCCTTATTGGTAACTGAAAGCTTTACTAATAACATCAACAGTAGATTAATGCATATGATGTATGTTATATGTTATATACTATATTATAATAAAGTAAGCTAGAGAAAAGAAAAAGCTGTTAAGCATAACAAAAGAAAAAATACTTTTACAGTTCTGGAGGAAACACACATCTAGCAAAGGACATTATATCAATAAAATAGAAAAGTAGAAAAGACAGAATATCAGAATAAAGAGTAGATTTTAAAATGGGATACATTTAGTTATGTAACAGTTTTGGTTACATGAAAACTTGTTATCATCCTCTATATGATGGGAAGCTGGTGAAAATTGTCATGGACTGGCACTACTCCAGGGGCAGATATTTTAGAACTACTCACCTACATGACTTCTAAGGTACTTTCCAGTTCTTGTGATTCATATGAAAAACAGTGACTCTTTGTGGAATTAGAAACATAAAACCTTCAAATTTTAATTTTAAGGCTAATTTTAAATGTTTTCAAAAAGTCTGATTTTGGGGACCAGCAGTTACCCTAATGGCTATGTCGCTGGACTCCCACATAGTCGACCGCGGTTCGAGTCCCGGACCCAGGGGCTTAAACTCACGCCAGGCGCGTGTGCATGCGTGCCCAAGATCCCGAGAGGAGAATGAAGGAGAAGGGATTGCAGCGTGGCTATCCCCCCTGGGGAGTGATTTCTCGCTTTCTATCTGTCTGCTTAGCGCACGCGCCCTATAGCAAAAAAAAACCTCTCCAAAAAAAGTCTGATCTTATCATTTTCTTTCAGAAAAATACTATTATTATTAATTTCATAACAATTAAATTAGACACAAGAAAATACATCTTTAGAAATAGTTCTGGGACCAGCAGTTGGAATAATGGCTATGTCGCTGGACTCCCATGTATTCAACTGCAATTTGAGTCCCAGACCCAGTGGCTTAAACTCATGCCAGGTGCATGTGCATGCAGGCCCAAGATCCCAAGCGGAGAATGGAGGAAAAGGATTGTGACGTGGCCATCCCTCCCCCCCATCCCCCACCCCCGGAGGTGATTTCTCACTTTCTGTCTCTCTGTGTGTCTCTCTCTCTTTCTGGTGAGTGCACATGCACTATAGCAAAAACCTCTCAGCAACAACAAAAAAAGGTAGTTTTTACTATTGCTAAACTTTACTTTTGGTTAGTCTTTGTAAAAGAAGTGGATATCATCAACTGTCATTTGTTGAATAATTTACTCTGTGCCAAATGCTTAACATGTATCATTGATCTCATAAAATATAAGACAAATACTATTCTACCTTTGCTGATTTGGAGTAAATCCAGTGATAAACCACCAAATGATGGTGAACCAGGTTTTAATTTCTTTTTTCTTTTTCTTTTCTTTTCTTTTTTTTTTTTTTAATTTCGCCAGAGGGTATTTGCTTAGCAGAGAGAGAGAGACAGAAGTGAGAAAGCACCACCTCAAGGGCATGGTCATGCTGTAATCATTTCTGCATTTCTTTGTTTTAGGATTTGGGGCATATAATACACTTGGATTCTGTGTATTTTCCAGCCACAGGTCTGGGACTTGACCCATGCTTTTGGCCATGTGTGATTCAGCCAGCCTTACCACGCAATGGTCTGGCTAAGTTTAAACTCATTTATGTCTATTTCTTTTACATAAGCCTGCATTTCACCATAATGTGTTACTTAAAAATGATGCAAGATATTTATGTACTTAGGGAACAAAGTTTTCAAGGGATCGAAAAGCTCTAAGGTTCATCTTAGAAGGAAAAAGCTTATTTAAATTAAAAACAAGTTTAAAATGCTTTTAGATAAATTACCCTTCCCTTCCTTTAAGTTTATGTAATAATTTGAAGAAAGACACCACCTCTAGAAATTAGTGTTTCATAGATAATTATATTTGGTATTGGCATATTAGTTATCTGTAACTTTTTCTATAAAGTGGATTCTTAATGTAGGTGTTTAAAAATCATTAAAATTTATTGGTTACAATATAGATAAAAGACAGTTTTAACCCATGGTCCTTTTCACATTATTTTGTGCAAAAAAAGGTACAGGCTCTACAGCTTATTCAAATTTTTTTCTAGCCTAGAATCTTTAAAACTGTTTTATGTAAAATGGTTGCAGGAGAATTGCTCTCGGAGTTTATTCTTGATTTTATTATTCTTTCCTGAGTTACAGTAACACATTGTATATATTAAATATCTTTAGAGATATTTTCAGTCCTAACTGCCAATAGCTTTTGAAAATATTGTAAACAACAACACATTTTTAGTGGTTATTTTGTTTGATTTTTATAGGTGGATACAGTCAACGTCTTCCAAATGCAAGTGCTTTGGGGAAAATTTTCACAGCTTTACCTCTTGGTAACCCCATTTATCAGATGTTAGAATTAAAACTAGCCATGTACATTGATTTTCCCACACATATGAATCCTGGGATTCTGGTTACCTGTGCAGATGATATTGAACTTTATAGTATTGGAGAATTTGAATTTATTAGGTTTGACAAACCAGGTTTTACTGCTTTAGCTCATCCTTCTAGTTTGACTATAGGGACTACACATGGAGTATTTGTCTTGGATCCTCTTAATTATTTAGGCCATAACGAACTTGAATACAGATGTTGCCATCGTTTTCTCCATAAACCCAGTATAGAAAATATGCGTGAATTTAATGCTGTTTGTAGACCTGGAAATTGTTATCAACAGGGTCTTGCTGGAGGTGATACTGCCTGTCTTAAATTAGACTCTGAATATGTCTACACAGATAGCCTGTTTTACATGGATCATAAATCAGCAAAAAAGTTACTTGCTTTTTATGAAGAAGTAGGCACACTGAACTGTGAAATAGATGCCTATGGTGACTTTCTCCAGGCTTTGGGACCTGGAGCATCTGTGGAGTATACCAGAAACACATCAAATGTCACTAAAGAAGAGTCTGAGTTGGTAGATATGAGGCAGAGAATATTTTATCTTCTTAAAGGAACATCACTAAATGTTATTGTTCTTAATAACTCCAAATTTTATCACATTGGAACAACTGAAGAATATTTGCTTCATTTTACTTCGGATAGCAGTCTGAAGTCAGAGCTTGGCTTAATGACTATAGCTTTTAGCATTTCTCCAGGTATACCAGATTGCTCTGATAAAGCACCCTGCATCATTCAAAGCATACTGGATGCAAGATGTTCTGTGGCACCTGGCTCAGTTGTGGAGTATTCCAGATTGGGACCTGATGTTTTAGTTGGAGAAAATTGTATTATTAGCGGTTCTCATATTCTAACAAAAACTGTCCTGCCTGCAAATACTTTTGTGTGTTCCTTAAGCTTGAAGATGAATGGACACTTAAAATATTCAACTATGGCATTTGGAGTGCAAGACAACCTGAAAAAGAATGTTAAAACGTTGTCAGATATAAAGTTACTTCAATTCTTTGGAGTCTGTTTCTTGTCATGCTTAGATATTTGGAATCTTAAAGTTACAGAGGAACTCTTCTCTGGAAACAAGACATGTCTGAGTTTGTGGACTGCTCGCATTTTCCCAGTTTGCTGTTCTTTGACTGGTTCAGTTACAGCATCCCTAAAGATGTTAAATGCTATAAAAACCAAATCAACATTCAACCTGAATAGCTATAAGCTGGTGTCCATTGAAGAAATGCTTGTCTGCAAAGATGTAGAAGACATGATAACTTACAGGGAGCAAATTTTTGTAGAAATTAGTTTAAATAAAAAGCAATCTGATTTAGAGGTCTTTTAAATATTGTTTAATTTGCCTTTCTTTGAGCAAGATTGCAAATGTGGGTGTTTTCTGTAGACATTTTCTTTTGGCTTTCACTGAAATGAATTAATAAAAATTACAGTAACATAATTGCTGTAGCATAACATTAACAGATAAAAACAGGCATGATTTTTTGATAGAATATTTCAAGACTAAATTCAGAAAAAGGACACTTTTTGGGGTATTTGTCACTATTTTAATTTTCCTTTTAATAATGATGGATTTACAGAGCATTGTTTTGTTCACATAGTAAACAGTCTAGTAGTTTTAAAGTTTAAATTTTCTAAAAATACCTATAGAATTTTTCATCTTCTGGACTTTGGGCCTAGTAAAACTCTTTTTTTGTTTTGGTTAGTGGTTACATGCCCTTGCCAAAGAGAGATAGACAGGGAGAAGAGAAAAGACCATCTCATCATCACAATGCAGAATGGTCATGCCACAGTCCCTACTCCTCCTCTTTCTCTCTGAGATACTGGGCATTCATACACATGCTCCTGGTGTGTATTTTTTAATCCCCTGGGTCTGAGACTTGAACCACATAGTCAGCAATGTGGTCCAGCTGCTATAACCACAATTCCATGGAGCCAGCCTGGGCCCAATAAAGATCTGAGTATTTATTGGCAATTTTCTCCTCAAATGTAGTCCTGTTTTTATAAACTGATGAAAAAATGACAGGGTCTTCAGAATAATGTAGGAATACTGTTGAAATACTTTTTTCAGACACAAATGTGTAGTTAATAAATGTTTAATTATTTTAGTTGATAGTTACAAAGAGCTCTCAAATTGATAAAAATTTCTGTCACTTACTGATCTTATTAAATTCACAGTACATGGGTGTATAGTACACACACATAATCTTTTTATAGAGATTTTTACAATAGGACAGAGGCAGTCTGCCAGAGAGGCAGAGACAGAAAAATCAACCCCCACACTATGACCACACTACAATCCCTTCTCCTCCATTCTCCTCTTTGGAGTTTTGACATGTATGCATACATGCCTGGCATGAGTTTCAAGCCACCAGGTCTAAGATTTGAACCACAGTTGGCCATGTGAGAGTCCAGCACCTTAAGCACTATACCACTTGCTGACCGTACATTTTATTTTAAGATTTGAATATCTTATAAAGTCTTTCTAAAATTTTATTCTGTAGAAAATAAGTAGATATACACAAAACTCAATTACCTATGGAGAAGGTGGTAGGAATAATTGAGATTCATAGTCATGTAAGTTCACGGTGGGTGTTACTTTCATCTTCTTGAACTTTTCATAGAACTTTTAAATTACCAGGTGGACTGATTCTATTTTCCATTTCTTATTTTCTGTCCACACACTGGTGATGATGCTGAGCACCAACATTTGACCAAAAGGTAGTAAAGGAAAGAAGCAGAAAAATAGAGAAAATGAGACAATACACAGATAGTAAACAGCTCTATAAAGTTTAGCTGGAATCCCAAGTAAGGTGTCCTATTTTGGTATAAGCTCATGAATAAAATGTCTTCACATCACTCTGAAAATTAGAGACTGTTTTAAATTAACATGAATAAATTGAAATAACTAGATTGTGCCACTTATATGTATGTATTAACATGGCAATATAACAATTGGTAATCTAGAAGTGACTTGTCTACAACCCTCAAGTGTAATTTTGGTATGTATATTTTTCCCCTTGGGTTCTTCCTAAGGAGAAAAAATAGATACATAGTAGTTTTTAATAGTTTTTCCACAGTTCAGACATTTTATTCAAAAGTGAGAGAAGAACATGTGCTAGACATCACTGCCAAAGTATCTCAGCCACTGCTAGCAGCCATTCTGGCCTAAAGATACCCTTGGTGTCAGTGTATGTGGTCTTCCTTCCACATCTACCCCAGACAATGGGAAGCAGGCATGTTACTGCTAATATATGACAGCCCTGGATGTTCCCAGTTCAGAATTCTCCAAGCATCTCTGTGACAGATCCAGTCTCAATTCTGCTTTGAAGTAGTTTGTCAAGCTCTTTGGAGCTATAGTAATCTGTATGATCTGCCTTTAACAGAATTCAGTGGTAGTGGTGAAACCCATTGGAACTTATTTAGCTGCCTCAGCTAGAATTTTATCAGCTTTAGCCTCAATAACTCCCTTAATTTTTTTAAGTTCTTTTTTTGGCAAATAGGCAACAATCTTTACAGTATGGAATCCAACTTCTTCCAATTTCTTCATGTCACTGGCATTTATTCCATATTGCTCTAACCATGAAAAGGGTCCTGGCCAAAGCTTTCCTTTTCTACTGAAGTATCTGGATTTGCTTCAAGCTACATCTGTGCAGTCACTACTGGACCTACATTGCTGCTCTCTATGTACTCGCCTTGCATATGCCCCACAGGTAGAAGCTTCAAAGGCACAGCCCCACTTCTCTACTCTGTGTTTCTGGCCTTCTGTTCAAAACCTGGACAAGTTTTGGCTCCCAAAGATACATCTCTACTCTCCTCAGGCCTCGGTTTCTAACTGTAGCACATGCTCTGATTGGCGGCCTTCTGCATTTAATATTTATTGATTTCCTTGCAAAGCTTTCAGGGAATGTTTTATGTTTGTTAATCATTAAATGGTCAGTACTGTAATTTTAATCTGATGTGCCATCAGTTATAAGAATCACCGTTATTTTATGTTGTACTAAGAAAAACATTACCAATAAAATATAACACAATGCTTTCTTTGTTACTTGAAATTTTTATACTTTCTGGAGATCTCTTAGATGCATTTAAATATAGATTTTTATCACTTAACTCTTGCATATACACAGAAAGGAACAAAAAAGTGAAATGTTGAGATATCATCAGTACATTTCTACAGCTTCCCATTCGTAGTTAAAACTCTTCTGGAGTATTATCAGCCCAAAGTTGATACCAATATTTCACCCAATGGTATCTTCTGTCCAATGAAAAGTTATTGGTAAGGCCACATTTCCCATAAGTGCCTTACCACACTGTCTGGATTTTCCACCAAGTTGCAAACACCAGAAACCTGTTTGGCATGTTTCTATGCTAATATATTACTAGTTAATAAAACTCAGTTTCATTTTTAAATTAGTTTAATCAAGATGGGTGCTTCTATTCAAAGTCAGCAGGTTTCTCAGATATCATATTAACATATTGTTAAGATAATTATTTGGTAAACCAAAGTGACCTGTTGTTAGCCCTTAATTATGGTACTCTGTGTGCATGTTTCTCAAGATCCCAGGAAAAATATGAAAATATAGCTATTGTTTAATATTTATTGATTTGCTTGTAGAGTTTTCAAAGGGTTTTATATTTTGTTCATTGAATGCTCAGTACTATACCTAATCTTAATTTTAATCATAATCAGCATACTGCATAGATTCTAGTTCCTTCAAAATCCTTTTAGTTCAAAAGATTTGTGTTGTATCTCAAATTGAGATATGTTTCTTGGTGTATAGGACCATGTGCTACCAACAGTAATCTGGACTCAAGTAATAGTCATATAGCTCTAACCAAGTTCACATACGGACAAGTAATAAAATCTCCATGATTGTTGCTACCTAATAGTTTCTGTAAAACATTGATTGTAAGACTCACCCTAGTTTGAGAGATACTGAAATGCCAAGAGAAAAGATGAATTAGAAAGTTATTATAACCTAAGTGTTTTATTAAAAGGGTCTAGAAAGTAAAAGTCATTATTCATCTCCTGAGTATAGTATACATGATGATGGAGGGAAGGATAAATTTTATGATGATCAATTTTCCATCCTCTTTATTTAGCCTAACAAAAGATTCACATTTGTTTTTTTTTTCTTTTTTGACTTTTATGAGCAATATAAAAGTAAGACTTGCACTTATAAATATGAAATGTTCCCTCTTGATTTATAATTTTCATTTTATAAAATCATTGCACTTAGATTATAGATTATCCAGCTTATAAAAAACTGCTATTTGTAACTAACTCGTGAATTTATTTTTAAAATGTATTTCTTCCATGTCAGATATACACACCTAATAGGGTCCCCACACAATGATCCTCCATCAGCCTCACCCAGCTTAGATTACTAGCAAATGTGCATCTACTATGCATGCTCAGTTATGTCCCTGAACCTAGACCCCTCCCATATGGGTCCAGCTGGGCCACCACTGTACCACCCTATGGCCCTCAAACTTACTGATGGGTTGATTATTAACTGACCAAGAATAGTATGGAAAAGCCTGAACATTTGGTAATAATCTACCATAGATATTTATTCTCCAGATGAAGCAAAACAGAAATAGTGTCAGTGTATACTGAAATAAAACTTTAAAAAATTTAAGATATCCTGAAAGTGATAAAAATTTGATGGAGCGAATCCAAGATTAACTCTCACAGCATGTGGTAGTCTACTCATCGTCTCTAGCTAAACATTACTCTGAATGTTACAGGAAGATGATCAAATTATTAATAGATACTAAATCAAAGCTCTGCCTACCTCATAAAGTAGGCATGGCTGGCATGTACAGCTGTTAACTATACTACTTAAAACTAGAATAGTACATTCACGTACACCAAGATGCTCTCTGGATGTGAAACTTGGAGGCCCAGAATTAAAGCACCTCAATCTAGTCTTGCAGAATTAAGAAAGAGAGGGAAAATAATGATACCAATATTCTAAAAACGAAAGGATTTCAGGAGCACTTGTTAAATAAAACTAAGTCAGTCATCATCTGTGTCAAGAAATTATTAAAGAACAACCTTTCAAATTAGTGCAAGAGAAATAGTTGACGTGACCATTAAGTAGTTTAATGTGAGTCTCCTGTGCCTCTAAAATTATGTTTAGACAAAGTGAAATTCTGTTGAGGAACACACCTTCTGTTCTTTGTACTTAGTGAAATAGTATTATCAGTATCCTCATATTGGATTCCTTTGGAGGTTATTTCTCATTATCTTTTCCTCCAATACCAATGTGCTAAACTATACAACATCCTAGTGCTTGTCATGTTCTTCTCATTTGTCTCTATA